ATCTCGTCCACATCTTCAATAATAATCTCACACCTTCCTACAACTTCTCTATCAGACCTTTCCTCCTCTCTCTCTTCATATGCATCTGTTCCTCTTTCGTATGCATCTGTTCCCCTATCGTATGCATCAGTCCCGTTTTCATATGCATCTGCTCCCTTGTCGTACATTCCTTCTAGAATCATCAAAAAACGTAGAATCCGTAAAATCCGTAAATTACTATCCATTTACATTCCGTTAGTTCTTATGTTCTTCATCTACCGTTACTCTTCCTCTGGTCCATTCCTCCCTCTTTCCTGTCAAATAATCGGATTGGGTTGTCCAGATTTACAAATTTCGGGATTTACTTCTCCTGAATTTAGCGGAGTTCAACGGATTTTTGAAGAGAACTTCAAAAATGGCTTGGAAGTTGGAGCGGGTGTTAGCGTTTATTACGATAATAAGTTGGTGGTCGATTTGCGGGGCGGAATGGCAGACGTGGAAGGTGGAAAGGTCTATGACGAGGATACATTGCAACTTGTGTTTTCTAGTACTAAAGTTTTGGTATGTAATTGATAATTTTCAAAAAGACGCTTTTGTAAATAATATTGACTAATCTAATCTTAAAAATTTTAGTCGGGGATAGTAATCGCGCGACTAGTAGAAAACGGTCTCCTTGATTACTCGGACAAGATCTCCAAGTACTGGCCAGAATTCGCACAAGGCAACAAAGAAAACGTGACATTGCAAGATCTAATGATTCACCGTGCTGGTGTAGGATACATTGACTCACATCAGATGTCTCTTTCTGATCTTGCCAGTCTCGACTCTCTTTCAGAAATTCTTGCCTCTCAACCTCATAATTTCGACGGTCAGCCCATCAAAGCTTACCACGGTGTTACACGCGGCTGGTATTTAAACGAAATTGTCCGTCGTGTTGATCCACGGCATCGAACTATCGGACGAATAGTCGCTGAAGAAATTGCACCCGAATACGATATGGAATTTTACCTTTCAGTTAAAAATAATCGGTTATATTCTCGGGTGGCCAACATCTATACTTATCCGCTGGTGAGACTCTTAGCCAAAATATTACTGCCACGGTGGATGATATCTGAACCATTGCATGCGGTGTTTGATAAGATGATGGATAAGGATAGTGTCGCCTTCAAGACTTTGGTAGAGACATCTCCAGATAGAAGTCAACCCCAGGATTGGAATAGGATGGAAATGTTACGCTATGAGGGACCTAGTTACAGTGGTGTCACTAATAGTAGGAGTATGGCGAAGTTGGCGGCCATTATGGCTAATGGTGGACAACCCCTTGATGTTAATTCTAAT